GGAGAGGCCTTGAGAGCCCAGGAAGGTGGCAACTAGGGACTCACTGTGTAGACAAGGGAGGCCACAGAACAGCTGGCTGTGCTGCTGCTTCAGAGGGTTCCCTGAATCTTTGGCCTGTCCCCCAGGTGGTGGATGGAGGCCCTTTAGGACTTTGAGGGCTGGAGAGGGCAAAGCAAGAGCCAGACAGTTTGGGGTTTCCTGGCAGTGGTGCCTTTGTTCTGGGTCCTTTATGGACCATTCAGAGACCCCAAAGGCCTGGGTGGGCTGGCTGACCATCCATGAAGGCCAGGCCCTGTGGGCAATGGGCCCAGTTGTTTTGACACAGGCATCAGAAGTATTGATCCTGGTGAAAGGTACTGGTTGGCCGTTTCCAGGCTGGCAAAGCAGTGGGGGCTGTGGCACAAGCTGCCTCAGGGACTCCTCCACATGTCTGGGGAGTCCCCACCTCTGGAAATGTATCCACTTTTTCATATGGACCTCAAGAAGCCCAAGGACTTCAGGGCTGAGGAATGGCAGGTGGGCAGGGAGGACAGTGACCACATGCAAAGCCATAGGGTGTGTCAGATGAGTGAGCTCTGTGTTCAGAGACAACAGAGCAACCTGGGAATTCCAGGGCTGCTGGTCTTGGTTCTCCCGGACAACATAGCTGGCACTTAACATCTCTTGCTGGTTCACAGGAAAGACAAGCTCTTCAATCCTTGAGGAAGACCTAGTCCCCAGGTCTCTGGGCACATCTGGCCATAGAAATCCCTGCTCTAGGTACAAGCATTCAATCTGGTAATTTGGGGTGCTGTCCACACCGGTTGGTGGAGCAGCCGTCTGGATAAAGGATTTAGGATCCGTTAATTGAGATAATGCAGAGGTTACACGGGAGTGATGTGGATTCAGCTGCAGACTCTGCTCAGAGATTTTGGACACAGAGGGCATCTCTGAGCAGGAGAAGCTCTGTGGTGCCCTTGCTGAGGTGAAGATGATCACACTGTTCTTTCCTGTCAGTGGTCGCTGAGTCTCCAGAGCTGTGTCGTTGGAGACATGGCAGCGGGGGGCTGCCCACAGGAGCTGCAGCACACGTCCCTCCCGAGGGACATGGCTCTCTCTGGGAAGGGAAGGATGGCACCCATTACTGATGCACTGCCGTCTGCAGCCACAGAAAGTGTGGTCTAGGGGATTGGCCTTGGCCTCCCCTGCGCCTGTAAGCCCTGGGCCTCCCCCGGGGAATCCTCCACTTTACTTGTTAGGCCTGGCTGAGCTAAGGGCCTTGGTCTTGTCAGACATGGGTGTGGCCGTCAGAGAGGATGGGGCCGTAGGGTCAGTTCACTGCTGAACCGTGTTGAGAAGTTGAACTAAAAGGGAACCAGGCAAGTGAGGATGTCAGGTGGTCAGTATGGCCACCACCAGGCACATCACCAAGTCTAACCTGGAGTCAGTCTCATCTGGGGCTGTCAAGACATGCCTGGTACCCATCCTGTAGATAATGACGTCCTTATGGGAACATTGTATTCTAGGGACTGTGGATTGTCCAGGGTATACACCTGAAGTGCTGACCACAGCATCTCATGGGGACTAGTTCTGTTCTCTGGAGAGCTTAGTAAGAGGATAAGATGATAGGCTTCTATATCAAGACTGTCCCAGCAGGTGGGCTCCCTACATTTCAAGGCCAGGCCAGACTCAGAGGGGGTGGCTGCAAACGGAATGACAGTGGGAGCTCATTCACACAAACTTGGCCTGGACTGGGTAACTTGTCTCTCGCTGGGCTCCACTGCATGGAGAATCTTTTACATGTCAGCCAGACCTAAAGTCCAGGGCTAGTGTGACTCTAGCACCGAGTGGAGAGGGGACGATTCTCTCCTGGGAGGTCCCATTGCCTCTGTCCTGGCAACTCTCATCCAGTGAACCAACCCTCGTGCTGTGTGTGGTTCCCTCCCAGGCATCAGCCTTGTCCCTGGCCAGACTGAGAAATCATCACAGGCCAGGTTGGGACTTGGGGGACAACATAGAACAGAGAGCAGGAGGTCACCTTTTCATGACAGAGAGCCGCCCTCGAAGACCATCAGCTTCTTCCTGGGATGTTCTCCTAGCTGAGAAACCAGGAGACAGTGTTACAGGACAGGAGGTGGTCAGGGGTGTCCTACCGGAAACTGACTCTTGGTAAAGGACACTAAGGCTCCCAGGAGTCGCGCTCTGGGGCAAGTCTGTAATTTAAACATTTACAAGATGTCTGATTCCTAATCTCCTTTGATATTCACCATCACAGTGTAAGTGAGGGAGGATGATCAGTGTTACGTGTGTCCTATGGGCAACAAGACAGATGGGGAGTGCTTTCTGTAGTGTCATAAAACTGGCAAATAACAGAGTTAGGGACTTTGGTCCTGTTTCCTCATGTCTTCATTCTCAGCAGGGAATGCTGAGAAATTTGGATCTTCCCAGGCTCTGATTTTCCATCCCAGGAAGTTTTTGTGAGAAATTGTCAATTTGGGGGACTTCAGCTTCAGTGGTTAGAGCACCTTGCTCTTGGTACCAAGGGTTAGAAAGAGTCAGTATCCAGGGGGACCTCACCACAGCGAAAGGAAGTGTGGGCAGAGACAGGGGCCTTACCTCTTGCTCCCGCGCTGCTAGCCCTTTGACTGACTCTTCGGGGTCGCTTAAAGACAAAAAAGTTTGAACGTGAAGCTTTGACCCAAGTTTCTTCTCATATCCCAAACGAGACCAACTTATAAACCTTTTGCAGTCCCTTTTATATGCCTTTGTTGTGGTGGTGGTGGTGGTTGTAAGCTCTTTATTGTGATTGGTTGAAAGTTTACAGAGCAGATTAGTTTCAATAATTGATACACATTTTGCTTTGTGGCGTAGATTGCAACCCCACAGCCTCACATCACTCTCCCCACTTTCCCCAGTTCCCTGTTTCCATTCCTCCTTCTTTCCTGTCCCCTCCTGCCTCCTGGGCTTTGCCCCTGGGCAGAAGCTGCTGTTTGATCTCTCATGGTTGCTTGTGCTAAGGAGTGTGTACCTCCCTGCTGGTACTGTTCCCTTTATACCAAACCAAAGCAAAGTCACTGCCGTCGACTTGGATCCGACTCTTAGCAACCCCTCCTTGGGTTTCCAAGGTGGTATCACGACGGAAGTAGATTGCCCAACTTTCCTTCAGAGGAGTGGCTGGTGGGTTTGAACCGCCGGCCTTCTGGTTAGCAGTCACATGCCTTAGGCACTATGCCACCAGAGCACCTGTTCCCTTTATAGTCCTGTCGATTGGGCTGAAATCTGAGCCATGGGCGTAAGTTCACTTCTAGGGTTTGAAGGGTGACTAAGGGCCACCGGTCTATCAGATCAGTAATCCTGTTTTTTTGATTTTTTAATTTTTTTTTTATGACTTTGAGTTTTTTCTCACATTTTTCTCCCACTCTCTTCAGGCCATCTATTGTGGCCCTTTGCAGAGTGGTAGCAGGCACCATCCAGCCCTTCTATAGATCTATGTTTTATACTTTCTTTTGTTTCCTTTCCCTGGTCCCCTTTTTTTACCCCAACATTTCCCTGCTCTACGTGTTTCTGACTTGCTGCTAGGCTCTTCCTTTTTTAGTACCTTTTTTAGTGCCTAAGGCATGTGACTGCTAACCAGAAGGCTGGTGGTTCAAACCCACCAGCTGCTCCTCAGAAGGAAGGTTGGGCAATCTACTTCCATAAAGATACTGCCTAGGAAACCCGAGGAGGGGTCGCTCTGAGTCGAATCTGACTCAATGGCAGTGAGTTCTTTTTTTTTTTTTTTTTTTTTTTTTTTTTTTTTTTTTTTTTTTTTTTTTTTTTTTTTTTTTTTTTTTTTTTTTTTTGTCTCATCCCAAGACGAGTTCTGTGGGGTGTGAGGGGTGACACAGTGGGAAGAGGAGAACAGACTAAACGGTGTATGGTTTACATAGCAAACTTACAGAGCTTGCAAAGGCCTTAAGAGAACCACCACCAAGAAAATCACCCAAACTGGGAGGTCCGGCAAGGTAGGCCTCATCTCTCTGAGGCCTGAACCCAAGTCAGGTGGAGGTGTCCTTGGATTTTCAATGAGGGTGGGCTGCAGGGAGGGCTGGAAATGCATTGTGTCTGGGCTTTAAGGAGTAAATAATGAAACAAGAATAACTGAAAGTTTGGTATTAAAAATTCTGGGGCAAGGGTGATGATAAGGGGTGAAACTGAGGGTGTAAAATCTTCTTGTCTGAGCAGTAACAGTTCAGCAGTGGTCAGGGTATTTCCCTACCTGACAGCCACTCTTCCTAGGTTCCAGCTTTAATCCATGGTGACTCCTTTTCACTTGCCAAATAATTAGGATAATGATGAAGATGAAGACATAGGTATATAAGGGACAGCCAATGTCCCACGGAAGTAGGGAAGGGCTCAACATGGTTGAAGCCTCATCCCCGTGAGGAGACCAGTCATCCCTCTATGTCGGCATCCAGGGCTCTGGAGCCTACTGGCTGCCAGTGCCGAGGTGTCATCTTACCTCACAGACAACAGACCCAGAACACGGGCTGCATCACAAAGGCCCCGTGTCACAGGGCGGGTGTGGGGACATCTCAGGGGAGCTCATGTGGTGATCACTCATATGGGGACCCAGTGTGCAGGTGAAGGCACCTGGGGACCCATCAGGGTTTCGGAGCCTGGACCACAGAGGCCACGGCCACAGGCAGGGTCCCCACTCCCACTCTCTGTCCACCCTCCCCCCCACACCAGCCTGATGGCTCAGCTCTCTCTGTTGTAACCGTCTCACCACCCATCCCCAGACACCGAGTGGTCAAGCACACAGGGCACCTGAGGAGGAAGGGTAGCCAGGCCAGAGGAAGCCCCACCAACTCTTTCACCCGCACTGGGAACACCTATGGGCACACAAGACGTTAGGGCAGCGGAGTCTGGTTCTGGCTTAAAGGTGGAGGGCGTGGGTGCCACAAGCAATGGGTGACTGGTAACCAGAGTGCAGGAAGGGCCCAAGGCTGAGGGGACGGGAAAAGACCCAGGGGCCAGGATCTCTCAATGACACTGTAGGAGCAAGGAAGGGATGCCTCCAGTCTGTGTGGGCGGGAAGAGGGTGAGAACCCGCCTTCTGAGGAGGCCGGGAGTGAGCCTCGCGGCTGGAGGCCTGTCCAAGGCCTGGCTCCGCGGCTGTTGCAGCCCCTGCCCGCTCAGGAGGAGGACTGCCTGCAGGGACGGGTCAGTGGCCACTTTCGGCTCATGGCCACGGACCAGTGCTCGTGCTTGGTCTGCTCAGCTGCTCTGGGGGTGGGTCGCTTGACTAGAGGAGGTTTGTGTTCTGTTTCGTGTTGTTGTAAACCCAGGTCTGGGAAGCCTTTAGGCAGGGCAGGGGTTTTCGGGTTCAGCCCCCGGGCCCCCATCTCTCCTCTCCGCCTGTATTTTATGTATTTCTGTTAAATGCTTGACTTCTGTAGGGATTGAGATGTGCTCCTACTGCCCCAGGCTTTCTGAAATTCCCGGGAAGGCTCTGGGTTTAGTGAGAGGAGTTTCACAGCCAGACTAGTCTTGGGCTGACCACCTCTCCAGAGGGCGTTGGTCCTGCCTTCAGCCTCCAGTCCCCATCAGCAGGCACCGTGAGCACTTCTTTCCAAATGTGAACCAGCGTGCATTTCTGTGATGAAGGCTGTTTAGTAGTGAACT